GCCGAAAGAGCAGGCTAATTCATATGTATTCAGGGGGGCTGCTTTGTGAAGCGTGTGAATGGATTAATCTGCCAGTTTTGTTAATACTATTGTTTGGATCACATGTGCTGCTTTTGTTATCCAGATTTTTTATTCTTGTATCAGACAGATCATTTTCATTACGGAGATGATGGTTAATAGAGACAGATGAATTAAATAATAAAACTGAAAGATGTTAAGATATCGCAAAATATTGTAATTTTAAACAAAGAAAATAGAATGAGTGTAAAAATAATAAGACAAGTATTAGATTTTTGTTATTAAAGCCTCATTGACAGATCTACATCAGATTTTTTATGTCTTTAATGACAGCAATCCAAATGCATTCTTAACATCCTAATTATTCACAGCAATGAGTTTATAAGTGTTTTTCACAACTCTCATAGACCAGTGCAGAGTTTTGCAGACAATAAATTTAATGTTCCTATCTTACACAAAACTGACTCTTGTGAGCTTTGAGCCATGTTAGAGTTGTTACCTCTTAAAAATATACCTGGAGTTTGCGTATTCCTGCATTATTAGCCTGCATCTTCAAAGATCAAAGTGCTGCTTGAGATGTCACAAGTAGTTCAAATTCAAGTTAAGACCTACTTTTTATCTTTTGTTCAGTAATAATTGCCCATTTCTGGGCTGAAATTATGCAAATGATTCTAGTGAAGGTGTGTGGAGTTTAAAAACACAGTGGAGTATTTTGTGCTTTTTTTTTATTTTGAGAAAAGAACTAGAAGTTAAATATGCAGGGTTTGTGTGTTAAACTTATTTGAATGAAACAAAACAGAACTCTGGGTATTTTATGTGTTTAAAGAAGAAACAACAGTATAATGTAGATTAGAAAATAGCGTAATATGGGAACTTTAACAACTAGCATGCTAATGTGCCCTATATTCTGTAAAAAGACAACATATGAATTAAATAGAATTGTATATTTTTGGAAAACTTCAGGTTCCATATATAAAATGATATAGATTAATATTTGTCTTTACATTACTCATTAATATAAATTAGATTTCTCTGTCAGTAATCTCTCAATATTCATTCAGTCATCACCAATAGAAAACCATAAAAGGTTCAAATGTTAAACTTGTGTGTTCCACTGAATGTAAACAGCTACATCCTTTGCTCTTGCACTTTGAAAAAGAAAAACACATTTTGTCCCAAGCCGGGGAGTCAGATACATTGTAGAGAGTTGTTTAATGTATCTCAGTTGGAGACAGTGAGCAGATGGTATTATCCGAAACACTGGTGGATCTTTCATGGTCATGACGCTGTAGTTGTGATTTTAGCGTTCAGAGCGCTGGAGTGTGTGCTGTGCCTCTGATACTGTGGAGTGTGAATAATTCGGAGAAACACCAGTCGCACTGTGTTACAAAAATAACTAGTCACAGCAGTAGAACAAGCTACTTCATTGATCCACAGCTTAAACTGCACTTTCTCTCTGACTTGTAGGAAGCGCGCAAGCCTTTGTTTCCAAAAGAACACTCTAATTAAAGGTTTTGAAAGTTATACTCATAGTGCTATTGGCAGTCCAGACACTTTTTATTTTGTCCATCCAGTCAAAGCTGTTCTTTATGTATCTTTATCCACCATGTTGATCCCAGTGTCTTGAATTTAACCTTCTCTGGACAAGGACTATATTTGGTTTGTTTATATTCTGTCTTTCAAAATTTGTAGGAAAACACCATAAATAAGACCATCCCCCCTCCCTTGCAATGTTAGTGACCAACATACATTGCATCATGATCCAGTATTAAAATTTCCTGAAAAACTCACCAAAAGCTGACAATCGCACACAAATGTACTTTATATTATCCTTAAGGCTAGGAATACTGTATTTTATATATTATTTACTTGTATTGTTCTGTCGTTCATTGAGAATCTTTGGACTTACTTTAAAATGTCCTCAAAACTTGGATCAGTAACTACACAAGTAAAAAAGTTAGTATTTTACAAACTTGCAAACTCCTGACCATATATTTAACCATTCGAGTCTCTCCAGGCCACTGTGCAGTGCTATATTTTATCATCAGCCTGATTAGTTTTATTTTCCAACTCGGAGCTAAACGGGAGCGGCAGTGCTTTCAAGCTCTGTGGATCCTCCTTAAAGGCAGTCACCTGGCAAAGTGGGACCCAGCTCGGGGCATTTATCCACTTAAAGAGTGCCACCCCGATGATGTCAGTAACAGATGACTGCGAGACACCCCCGTTCTATTGCCACACTGCGGCTTTGGTCACCCAGGGCAGGAGGCAGTGGCGGCAGTGGGGGCATGGGCAGATAATTATCAGTATAAATGAAGCCCCACAAACGATGCGCACTGTTGGGTCCCCTGATCTAGTCTCCAAGGCAACCTCAACACACTCATTTGTTTTGTAGATGAGTAATTACATCCAATTAGTGGCCAGTGGAAAAAAGGGAGTCCAAGAAAGGGCCATTGTTCTGGATAGATTGTGTGAATATTAATAGTAGGGCGGTGGGTGATATGATGGGTGATAGTGGTGCAGCTGTGTGCCTGCTCTGCCCGGTCCAGTCCCGCACAGTGCATCAGGTGAGCGCTGATGAAAATATATGGCTCAGACAGAGACACAGAGACACTGATCCAGCTGCCTGCCTCCACACAAGCCAGCCACTTTTTACACAACCCTGCCACAATACACCTGCAACTCACAAACTTTAGGAAAAAATGCATGAGGAAAGGATGGAGTGTAGGGAAATGTATGAGAAAAATATGTGCTTACGCTGCACCCAAATTTGGATGTTATAAAGCACAGTCAACTCATATCATTTTGCTTTTTCTGATGTATCAACCCAAGAAAAATCAATAATTTTGTTTCTTGATGGCATGGGTTATTAAGTTTATTAGCTTGTGCTGTTCAATCTGGAGTTACATTTTTATAGATAGTGAAAATCACTTGTCCTTTACAGTGTATTTACAGTATTTCTAATTACCACATCAAATCAGTATTATTTACACATGTTTATTAGGTAACTATCTTGCCATAGAGCATAATGATAATAGATAAAATGGACAAAAAAGATGCATTTTGTGTGTGGATTTGGGGCTACACTCAAACATTTTTTCACTTAAATGTGGAGTATTATTCAGTATTGCAGTATTACTTTACAGAGGGTTGGCATTCATAGTGTTATTGTCAATGTTCTGAATTGAAATCCTTCTCCACAGCCTAATGCAGTCTAAAGTGTATATTCAGTATTATTAGCTCCACATTATGTCAAATGAAACACTGAGTACAAATGTAAACGTGGCTGTGTAAATAGTGTTATGGCAGCACTATTTCACTGCTGACAGCTCCTGGCTCCTGCCTCCATGCTCCTCTGAACTGGTGACACATTTTGGATGGACTCCTCACATATTTCCAATAACACATCTTGTGCTGTTGTCAAATGTTTTTTTCCCCTTATTATAATTATTCGATTGATCCGGTTCTCCTCATTAGTGAGGCCAATCAATTTGCTTTGACATTTGTCTAAGTGAAGTAAATGCAATGATTGGTTCTCAGGCTTTGTTCAATGTGTCAGCCATTATGTGATGTTACGTGGGAAGCCTGCCGTATTTGGAGCCTATAATTTGATGAGTGGGCACGCGAAGATCAGAGTGACAAAAAGCACTGGCGTAGGGAGCGACGCGGCGCCGGCTTACGTTCCATTTGGCACAAGTGGACTGCCTCACTGTGAATGGGCGGAGGTGAAGTGCCTTTGAAAAGGGCTAATGCTCGCTCCAGGAACCAAATAAAAAAAACACACAAAGCTAAAGGGAATCCCAGCTATGGTAAAGTCGCCAATCTGAGTCAGCCCGAGTAGATTAGCCGTGTTATCAAAGAGGTACGACGAGGGGGACGTTTTCTTTTAATTGCACTCCTTTATATGAGCAGCTTCTCTCAGATTAAGGGGGCGAGCAATAAATGTCACCAAGACTTATTGCTGAATGACATTTGCTAAACTGTTGATAATCCGCCATCTGTGTCAAAGGAGGAATCTGTACAAAGAGGCCAGAGAAAGCGTGCTCCCATCACTTAGGGCTCTCCTGTTATCAATAAATAACAATATCTACTGAGGCTGCTGGTCAGAATAAAGGCTTTAAATGGATTATTGATTGTTGCTTGGAGTCTCTTTGGTGCTAATTGACAGCTTTCTTCAGGTATGTTGTCTACAAATATAGCTTTGAAATGAGAAATATATTGAGCTGGATTTTAGTGTAAGACAGGCTACAGTCAATTAAAATATAAGTCACGTGTCAATTAGACCAATCACAACATGATCATTTTTGTGCACACATATCACTTCCTGCATCTTTGAAAATAAAACTGAATTTTACTTTAAAATACTGATGCTTAAAAATATTTTCAATAACAGTTATTAATTTGTCTTAGATTTTTTATGCACATTTTTTAATAGTTGAAAGATTTCAATAAGCTGTAGAACAGTTTATTATTTAGTATTATATAGTGGACACAGTGATGTGATATTCTCTTCCTGTCTGCCCCCACCATGAATAAATACAATTTACAATCTTTCAGGATCAATACGTATCTATCTTTCTTCTTTCTTTCTACCTATCTATCTGTCTATCTATCTTAAAACACAGTGTTTCCATACCATGATGAAGTGATACATGTTAATATAAGTTAATACATTCGTAACTGCTCTCATTGTGTTGACTTTTGCCATTGACAATGTTGCTTGTTTAAGCTTGTTTGTGTGTTCTTCTTAAGTATCACATACAGTGTAGGGCTAATGGGGCAGGAGCTGCTGGGGGGAGGGCAGGGAGGGCTACACTCATGCACACTGTACATGGACCACCAGAGCGCTGGGACGCACCACTCAAACACTCAATTTGAACTCACTTGACTTGGACTGTTCAAAATAAAAAGTAAATACAAGAGTTGATTTCCCCAATGATGGAGTCCCTCCCTCCACCTCCCCTGTACCCTACTGTATCTCCCAGGCCTCCCCGATTATGGGTTTTACTCTGCGCCCAGTGACCAGAGGGGGGGGCCCTGCTCCTTTGCTGACTATGCCTCCCTGGGGCCCCAAGCGGCTCAGATGCTGCACAGTGAGCATGCCACCTCCGCCTGCAACTCCCCCCTCCAGCACCTACACAGCCCGGATCAGTTTAAGAACCCAGGTTTGTATCTGCACACCTGCGCATCACCTCTTTGGACTTTACGTTTGACTCATAACATCTTCTAATATTCTTTTATTTTGACATTCTCCTCGTTTTGTTCATAAACCAAACAACAGCCTTCAATATCTTACTGATAAACAGCACTGCATGATTCTTCTTTTCATTTCTGTGTTTCAGCCCCCTGCTTGCACTTTAGGGGCTGACACATACAGAATGTAATTTTTCATTTGCATGTGAACAAAATGGTGTCACAGAAACTATATGTTTTATTGGTTACTTAAGAATACAATTGTAAACTAATCTGATGTCCTTAGATAACCTGTAGACATGCTTTAATATATTAACATTTTGTCTTAAAACATTTTCTCCATTTGTGTATGTCTTTGTCTACTCTGTCAAACTTGCCAGCTTTCTAAAACCAATAAGGAAGACTGTATACGGGTATTACTTTATTGGCATGCATTAGCAGTAGTTTTAGATGTAGTAGCCTAGTTGCATTTCTGTACATTTAAGTTAAATGGATCATGCAGTTTAGGCTGAGAACATGTGGGTGTGTTGACCTCTTAGTTTACTCAGTATTACTACTAAACCACTATTAAAAGTTACCCTGGCTAATTCTGGCAACCACTCTCGGGTTGGTTCAACTTTTCCCAACTCCATATATTTGTGCTACTCTTGTCTAAGTATACTAACTTTGCCTGCTAGCCATAGGAGTTGTCCAAAAGCACATGCCTTAAGGTCAAGCAGACATCACTCTTTTGTTCCAAATGAGTTTCTGTTGTGCCTTTAGTCATGCTGCTGTGACTTTTGTATTTCTAGGCCACCGTAGTGGATTGTGGTTGCAAGTGGCTTTAAGCAGCGACCTCATTTTCACACTTAATATCAGAGTCAAATGGGTCATGTGTTTTGTCCAGAAACACTTTGGAACTCGCTACAAGTTATCTCTCCCTGGACACTCATATCCACCTCAGGCTTATGCACCTAAATCCTGCCAGAGCCTCTATTCAGTGGGTGCCATTGTGTCCTCACCTCCAATTCAATGCCCTAATACTGAGAGAGAATATTGAAAGAGGGCTGCCCTTCACCCCCTTGGCTCCAAAAGACTGTCTGGGCTCTGTGCACTACACAATACTGGCCTTAGCAGCTCAAGGACAGGCCAGGCCCCTTCACGCTACTAAAGTGGTGTCCAGCTGCCCCGGGCGTACGGTGCCATTTCAGCCACACCACATGCATTCACACACAGAGGCACAACAACAAATCTTCAGGAGATTCAGGCAGAAATGTGATGATTAGGAAGAAATGTAAAGAGAGGGTTGAGTTTGCTGCGCTGGCTCCCTGTGTCAGCACTGCAAATAATGTGAGCAGTCTATACCCTCCACAAAGGCCCAATATTTTTTGCAGTGAGACTCGGTGATGGACTCAACTCACCACTCTAATGCAGGAAGAAATTATTATACACAAAGTCATATATTTGTGTTTTAGTATCCACAGATAATGCAAAAATAATAATTAAACACCATTGTGAGGCCTTGTAAGTAGAAAACGTATTCTTTGTGCCAGTTCAAAGCCTGGGTAAACGAACATGGTTATATCAGGAGGGACATCTCTTCACACTGAGGAACCCAATGAAAAGACAAATGACAAAACAGCATATCGTCTAAAATAGATGCTATTCATAATGACTGCGTATGTGGGTTGTACTAGTTTATATATAGTTTATTTACCAAGCCTCACAATGGCGGCTGTATCTCGCTAGATTAAGTTGTCATTACTGCCAGTGGCTCGTTTCTTTGTATGTGCAGAGCAGCTTATCACAATAGCCCCCACAACTCAGAAGAAGCATAGTGTCTTTACACTTTCATTGTCGTTGTCATTAAGAAGTGCTTTCCAAGCGCGCATTGCTCACGTCTGTGCTCAAGCTTGGCATTAATGTAAATCGGTGACATATTTTAGAGTAATTTATAGACATTTTGGAGGACGCACTCTGGCAGCCGTGCCAAATGTTCAGTATAAAGTGACATTCATTAATTCAGCTGCTCCATTTTCTTTTACAGAACTTCTCCCACGAGTCGTTTTATCCCAGTCTCCTCTGTCTTATACTCCCACTATATCAGTGAAGTATGGCCACATTACAAAACAGTAGTATATTGATATATATACATATATATATATACACTAATACAGCTTAATATTATGACACCACTGCTTAAGGCAATGGCATTGACCTTGGTAACTTATAATGGATGACTGCAGATTAATTAACAAATTTCATTTTTATTGCTGATTTGTTGAATAAAAATGAAAAATGTCAAATAGAAGAAATTATTTGAGTTTGTTCACCAAAATTCTCATCATTGCAAGACAATCTGAGCATCCCCGAAACACCTGCTTTATTGTTGTTATTGCTGGCTACAGACTTGCATCTTTATTTAAAAAGGCAGGAAACAATGCTTGGAAGAAAAAAGAGTGCTAATAAAAAAAATCTCCCAGCCTAGAAAATGAGGAATGCCATTTCAAGTGGAAAAAAAACTTAATTATATAATAAGCCATCCTAGTGAGGGCTGTGCTGGCGAGATAAGCTCTGTTTAAAGTCCTTATAGTTTAACAGTGTCAACTCCACTAGATGTGTGTTTAGTGAGATGGCTTCATTTTTCTCGTGTACCTCACTAGAAAAACGCACAAACCTGACTATGATAGATGAGGTAGCTATACATTTAAGCACAGGGTAGCACACAGGTAAAGTCTGTCGTCTACATTGTTAGGAACCAAAAACTAGCCATGCATGGTTCTGAAAATTTTCACACAAAGTACCACCTAAGGAAATATTTGGCTTTCCGAGTACCTCCAGGTCTAAACAAGAACTAAAACGGGATTATGTCAGATCAAAAATAAGATTAATACATGCATGAAATCAGACTAAACTATTGCTAAACTAAAAAGAAGATTAAAAAGATAAAAAAGAAGTTGTCAAAGAAATATTAATAGATTAAACATATAATTTAAACATATATTAGAACTACAGAGGACCACTGGAATGAGTTCATGCACCACCGATCGTGCACATACAACACTTTGAGAAACACTACTTTAGCTATTTTTTTCTTTTAAGCCCATTTGTGATTTTATCGGTGAGATCAAGGGTTACACAAAACAGACTTGTAAAAGATTGCGGCTAAGGAATCACGCTGGTACACAATATTTTTCTTGTATGGCGAGCGCTAGTGGCCTTTCAGCAGACATTTGGTTTGTCTAAGGACATTTTATTAGAACATGTTGCTCATAGGGCTTAGGTGCTCAGTCATCTGCACTATTTCTTTTATATTCCTCTAGATTGGGTCCCTGCGTATAAAGTCAGGTCAAACTTTTATAGTCCCCTTCATGCCATGGTTGCGCTTTATGCTGGGAGTCACAGGGCAGACCGAGCGCTGAATCACACCTCTGACACTGTTTTCAGCCACATTATTTTTAGTAGATTGGGACGGGTTTCTATGACTCACTGGATCATATATGACATAAATGAGTGTGAGCTGTAAGCGACTACTGTTGTAGCTGGAAGTAGTGAGGGGTGATCATCCAAACTCACTACTCCTAAAGATAGTTTGAATTTTGGATGTGGTTCTTTAAGAGGGACTATATTAAATTTCTAAAATATCATTGGATTAACAGACGGAGGAAAAACTGGATGTACGCAGAAATTACAAACCAGCAATAGACCCAAAATACTTTCTGGTTTGATCTTAAGAATGGCAAATACTAAAATAAAACCATATGGCTCTTTACATATAACTAACAACCATTTTCAAACAGAATTTTATATTTTGTTATTTTGTAGTATGTTGTAGTAATTCACTAAGTATCTTCTGTGCTCATGTTTGTCTGTGTTTTGAATATTTCTTGTAGACTGGTAACAAGGTTCCCCTTATAGCGCCACTCATATACCTTTGTATTGTTTTATTCTGTCCAGTAGCAGTAGCTTTTGTAAATTCTCTACATTCTGCATGGCAATCGTAGAACATTACTAGTGTATTAGCATGTTCAGACTATTACTGACAGAGTGCCTGTTTTATGTTATGCATGGATCTACAAAGTGAATGAACATAAAGCATGTAATTTATAACTGGAATATCATACTGGATTCACGCTTCGCCTCTTATTGACCATAACCATTTTTAAAGACAATTCACAATGTATTTTCAGACGATAGCCAGAATCCAGTAATGTATTCTTTTATTTAAATTTGTCCATCATTGCTTGCCTTCTTTTGGGTGGGTTTGCAGGTTTTTTCTGAGTCGCTGTTGTGTTGCTGTGTTTGTATGCAGGCACCAACCCTTCGAGGCCCGGCGGTTTCCCAGGAGCCAACAGTCCCGGGCCAGTAGCTGACCTGTACGGCCCCAGCAGCCAGGACTCTGCTGTGGGGAACTACATCAGTGCTGCCAGCCCCCAGCCAGGGTCAGGCTTCGGCCCTAGCATCACAGTGAGTACTAGTACAGTCTCGGCTACTGTCATTACGGTTAGATGTGTCGCAGAGCCATGCTAACGACAACTTAACATTCTGCATATGATCGTGGCCCTGTGTAAAGTGTAACATTTTAGCCTGGATTCTTGAGCTTACTAATGTTTGAATTACTCCTGAAATTAACCAGAGATCCAGATTTTACATTTGACAAGCAGATACACATGTATGGTAATTTGACTATTCTCAAGCTGTTATATCTTTGTAGCAGATTTAGTTTTAGATGTTGATATGAATTTCAAGTTTCCCCAGCAGCTCAAATATTATAACACAATTGGTGCGCCAGGCTGTATGTATTTTTTTATTTTTTATTTTATGAGCCGTGTAATCTGTGAAATTATTCCTGCTATATGCAAAAGCTAATTCCCAAACCCCCTTAGCTTTCGCCTGGTCTCACCTTTATGGAACATTTCTGATATTTTTAGCCGTCCCTCCCTCCGCCCTAGTGCTGAGTTTTGCCCCGTCACTATAAAAAAAAGGCGTGTGCGTCAATGTCTTTGTCCAGGTGTTGTTGCCGGGCTGTGCAGGTGCTCCTTCATTTCCTCTGCTTGATCAGTTAGCGTTAGCTGCACATAGATCAGTTAGCGTTAGCCACACATTGTCATATCAAGTCTTTAGTATAAGAGCATCTGCAGTGAAGAGGCTGTTTGTGTCCACTGTCCTCAGGCTTTTGTGGATGAACTCACAGTCTCGGCTCAGTGTCACTTCAGGTGACGCTCTGTTAATAACCTGCTCTGGTGTGAGGATGGTCACTGTGGCCTTAAAAGTGTGATCAATGAACCCAGCTAGAGAATAGCCATGGGTTATAGAATGATAAAAACGATAGAAAATAGAAAATTAACAGTTTGACATTGCGATTAACCATTTATCTCTTTTGAATGAGAAAAAGTCCTTAAAATCTTACATACAGGGAGCTGATCATCTGTGTTCTCTCTGTGGCGCTGTAAATGCAGCAATTTAAATGAATATTATTTTTGTATTTATTACATTGATTTGTTTAGTTTTATTTTGTTATTTGGACGTACTCCGATGTCAAATATTCTCAAATAGTCTCAAATATTTTATATGACAACTTCTTTATAAATATTTAAACTTCTACAGTTATGTATTATTATCATTATCTGAATTCATTTAACCCATATATTGAGTTTTTACAAATAATATATCCTTCCAAATTATATTAAAAAAAATCTGTACAATAATAAGCTAATGTACATCATTACTAGGTACTACATCTGATTAGCATCAGTCAAATGTAATTGTTAGTAGTAATCATAACAGAAGTAGGTAGCACTTTTAGTTTTAATCACAAAAACACAATTGACCATATCTTGCTCTAAATGTAACTTTCTGCAGCTGTTAGTAATAATCTTAGTAAGTTCTAGTATTGTTGTGTGTATAGTAGTATTTGAGTACAGAATTTGAGTACTCCCTCTACCACAGCTTATAATCCTTAACAACATTTGTAAGTCCCTCTTAGCTCATTGTTGTAAATAGCCCAGAGATCCAGAGCAGCGCTCCGGACGTTTTGTTGTTTCCAACGGTCTGTGTTTGGCTCCAGCCTGGGCCTCACTGAATAATTAATCCACTCTTTTACCATCTGAGTTTTATGGCCCTTAGCAAGCAGCAACAGGGCACTTCTCTGAACGGATGTACGGCCATGTTTGTACAGCTTTACATGACTGACTGACCCACAATACAGGTCAGAGGAGTAACTATTATGGTGCAGTTTAACTACTGTGAGTATTACAAGTACAAGTTCAGAGGAGCCCCTCTGAACCTCACAGCCCACCTCCTCCTCTGCTTCATCCTGAGACTCCAGCCACTAAGATTCATTCCCGTCTGGTGTTTGTGTAATGCATTCTAATTAGCTGTATTTTTCTTGGCGTCTCTTTGGAGAATAGGGACATTCATCACTTTTTAGAGTACATTATATCAATCAGTGCGACTAAATGCAGCAATGAGATACTTATAGCAGCAGTTATGCATCAGCAGTACAATCAGAGACAGAGCAGATAATGTGCAAACCGCTCATTTTAATTTTCAGAGCATCTCAGTAATTGATTTATGAGGCCCGAACAAAAGCAAAGCCAAACAGAAAACTACATTTTATTGGCTTTTTGCTTCCTAAGCAAAGCTGCTCTTATTAATTGCTTTAGGTCCACTGGCTATCTGCCATAATCTGTTGCTCTCAGTTTAGGAAGCAAAATATTTGTAATAAACGTCAGGGCTGGCTCCTTTTCAAAGCAGATTTACAGCAGATAGTTTACTGATGGAAATGAGCCGATTTGCTTCTGCTGTGTGTCGATTATTGTGGCTGTTTTGTTACCGGATTTTACCACAGGTATGAAATTATGTGAAATATCTATGTGTTAATATCTAGGCATGATAAGAATTCATGTTATCTATTTATTGATATTTACTAAAAGAATCAATGATTAACCAGTGAACCATTGATTATAGTCTGCAAACCTTCTGAGGTCAGAAGGTTTTGTGGGTCCGATTACCCCTGAACTGTAAGAGGAGATGTAGTGTGGAGGCTACTGGGACATAGGAGTTCTGTTTTTATTTTATTTTGTTAAATTCCCACCACATAATTTTTTGCCAAATAATATACCATAATAAAAGATTTTTTTGATTCATTTTCAATGTTTTTAGTTAATATAGAAAGCAGTCTCCATGGAAATGTTATTCTTTTGACTATAATATTCCACAGTAGAGCATAACACCTTAACTATCTCCATAGAGAATGTTCCGATTTGTGGTTTTAACTTTCTGTTTCCATGGAATCGTATAGGTATGTGGCACCTCCAGGAAGTTACGTGGTGTTACTTTAATTAGCTACTTAATATACAGTATATCATTGTTTATTATTTTAAGACTTTTGGCCAGCGCTTTTGTAGTTCAAAAGTGCATTTTTCACAAAGTGTCCTATTGCCTTCCCCACTGTGGGTTTTAGCCTGTGCCTCTTCCCACTGTAAATCCCATCCGCCACTAAATCAAAGCCAGTGCAATAAAGCCAAGACAAGACGCTGCAGTCCAAGAATTGATGGCTCCATTCAGCCCATTAAAACGCGGAAACAGTCAGACTCAAAACACACTTCTAATTCATATTTGCCTCGGCATGCTCTTGTACTGAACATTTGTAAGCGGTCACATGACATAAGCCCATAGAAAGCTCTCAGATCGAGCGATTTGTCCTTCGCTCTCACGCTCGGCGGCTTTTTATTAATCCCTTTAGCCAATATGAAAACAGTCGCTGTAAAGAAGAAGTAGTAATGAACTTAACTGCCTTTTTTCATGCCAGACAATTAGAGCGCATTTAGCTGATGGAGGTGATAAAGGGAGCTAATCGTCGTTGCTAGTCTTTTCACTGTTGCAGAATTGAAGGATTTCTCAGTGCCCTGACAACTGAGCAACAATACCGAATGCACTCTCAAAAGGCAGTATTTCTGATTGTACATGTTCAGATGAAATCACGGGTGTGGGGTTACCATGAAAGGAGCTGCGTGTGTATGCGTGCCCCTGGCTTCTGTATCCTGCCTGTCTGTATAATATATCACATGTTCTGGAGTTCTCTCACTCTATATGTGACTATTTAAGGCATCCTTTACCAATGAGTCCCGCTTCCTCTAGTCATTTATTTTCTCCTCCTACAGTGCTTGTACAGCCGCAGGCTCCCATTATCTGCTACAAGGGTATAACACCAACCTGTAAAATATACAACAATAGCCCAGTGCTTCGCTACTGATCAAAATGAATCAACAAGTACACATCCACGCTAGCTGCAAAAATGATATAGTACTCACTTTTCTTTTCTTTTGAATTGCATACTGACAAAAGCACTAACTGTACACTTTTAGGGCCCGTTGATTGCGACAGCTTTTACAAATGGATACCATTGAGCAGGTGGCGGGTTGCCATCTCATCAGAGGTATTGCATTTTATTTACTGTGCCTTTCTATTAGACTCTCTCTCTGTCTCTTGGTTCTCCTAATATGTGTTGAGCGCATTGTTTGTTGTGGTCCAAGTGGCAGAGCTGGTAGGGAGGTGCGAATGTGACAGATGGCGCTACTCTTCACAAGTCCACAGGCCCCTGCTGATTGTCTCCTGACTTATGCTTCAGTAACAAAACCAAAATGGACTGCACTTAGCATTTCAGGGGACTTGGAAGACATTATTGTCATTGTGCGCACACTGCCAACTCTGCCAACACACAAAATATTCCCCTGTACATCCCCCCCGTCCCTCTCACCCAAATAGCTGCTAGTGTTGTTTGTATTTTACATATATAGACCTTCACAATCGAGCTTCATTTAAAAAAAAAAAAAAGTTCTATCTATCATCTGTTTATTTCTTCACTTTATGGCTAACATTGTGTTTCCATGCAACCCCTTGTTAAATGGTCTGTGTGATTCACTTTGCATGCCTGTGTCTAATTATTACTGTATATTCCTGTATTTAGACTTGTCTGATCATTATAAATTATATTAGCATACAGGTGCATGGACGAGAGCACGGTTACTAAATTAACATGATGTAGAACCTGTTGACTGTTAATTATCTGTATTTTTCACCCACCCAGTCATTCACTGTAATCACATATCAATTATAAAGTACTGTACAAGGGTCAGCGGTCAAGTAGGGCTCTCTAATGCTTTTATTATTAGTGAATTAGTCTCAGTAGTTTTGGAGAAGCAGACAGGAGCACTCTTACAAAAGGCATGAAGACGGCCAACAAAAAAATAAAACCACGACGCTCCATAATACGCAGACATTTACACTTAGACAAATTTTATTGATCCACAAGGGAAATTATTTGGACACAGTAGCTCACACATCACAATATAACATAATAACAAATAGTAAAAAATATAAATGGTAATAATAAATTCTAGTAATAAAAAAAAAGGTCTAAATAGTTTAATAGTGTATTTTGTAGAAAAAAGTGTTGCCATTCTCACACAATGATTACAGAGATTTTAACTGGTAGTTCTTATCTATTTCTAAACTAATTCCTAAACCCTTGTGCACATTGTTAACATTCACTTGCATGAATTTTTAGATACAAGTACATCTTAGGAACAGTACATTATATACAGCATAGTAAAATCTGGTGGACAGTCAATTTGAGCGTTGCTTGCATCTTATATATGTAAAATACAGTTTAAAAACAAATGTCTCAAAAAAGTGCTTTAAAAAAAGACATGGCATATGAGTGAAAGATTAAAATACTTTATTATTACATGCAGAATGTGTGTGAAAGTGCGTGAAGTAGCCTGATTTTGTCACAGAGTGCTGCACAATGTCCTTTATAAGGGAAAACACTAAATATACCAATTTACATGAAAAAGATGGGTACCCCAATTATGATGTTTTTTCCTTATCAAAAACATACCCGGAGTGGTGTTTTGTTTAAAAAAAAAAATAGCATATCAAAATCATATTTAGACTGAGTTATTTTCTGTTCCACCCTGTGATGTCATGAGGTAATGCAGGAAGTGCTCCACTGTGTTTTAAAACATCAAACACCTTCATGAGAATTATTTGGACAACTTCAGCCCTGGAATTACCTGTTTCTACTAAACAAAAGATAAAAGACAGATAAAGAATTACTCAAATGTGTGGATGAAACAAAACATAACTCCAGGTTTGTTTTTAAGGAGGTAACAACATTATAACATGGGTTAAAGCTCACAAGAGATAAATTTGCGTAATATAGGACCTCTAATAATACCATCGCCAGCAACAAGTAGAAGCACTGCTCCTGTCTACATTCTCCAAAACTGTTAATAATTTTAAAAAGTTATTTCATTTTTTCACTTGTCTTAATCACTAAATGCCTCTTTTCTTGTGTCTTTGTCGCCCAGCAGAGTATATCTGGTGGCCCGGGAAAGACAGGACGAAGTTTCTAATTGGCTTTCTGTGCAGGTGACGCTCTTCAACTTCAACAAGCACTACAGCGTCACTCAGGCAAAAAATACCACCTACGAACGGACGAAAGCACGAAAAAATGAGAGAAAAGTCTCAGAAAAACCACACGAAGAAGAAGAAGAAAGGCAAATGTTCGTCATCTCATAAAAAGAAACAACTGCTGTACTATAATCCAAACCTCCTATACCTTTACAACCTGGTTTGGCCTGTTTCATTCAACAATACTCTTCCTCTGTTGTTAGCATTTTCAGTTAGGTTTTAGCGATGTCCTTTTAGTTTCAATCCTTTTATTTTTGTGTCTCTTCATTTTATTGACTTTTTGTGTAAATGTTTGAGTTTGTTTTTTGGAGATTTTATGAAGTGGTTTTAGCCAAGAATATTTGCAAGGCATCTTTGTATGAAAAGGTATTGGATGTTTTAACTGAGTCTGTCCACCAAAAAATGTTCAAAATGTGGAAAACTCAAAGAAAAAAATGAAAGAAAATTTCAAGAAGGTATCTAAGTAATAATCTTAGTAGCTGTTTTATTTCTTGTGATGTCTCATTGTTAACCATAATTACCTATTTTTGGGCAATACAAAGAGGACTTCAATATTTTTATGGTCCTTTTTTATAAGTGTTGTTTTTGTTGTTTAGAAATATATATATATGCTATAATGAAAATTTCATATACTACATTGTGAATTCAAACTTGAGAAAAAGAAATGTAGCTGTACATATTATTCCAAGTCACTGCATATAACCAACTCAGTGAGAAGAATAGCATATTTTTGTGATGGTCGTGTCAAAAAGAACATGTTATAGCGTGTGAATAGAAGAAAAAGCTGTAAAAAATTATTAATCTACTGTTTTTTTGTTTTTCTTTTCTGCTGGAAGAACGGTATCTACTCCACAGACACACATAAACTTGCTGTAAATAGTTGTAAACGTCATTTTGCAAGTGTCATACCAGCAAATTTAAAAAACAAGATTGGTCTTTTTGTCTAACTGTTGCGATAACAAGGTTTAAAAATCCAAAGCACACTGTAATGAGAGGGGAAGATTACAACTTGAAACATTTTTTGCAGTGCATCCTTTTATACTCTCAAGATTTTTTCACATCCTGCTTGTCGTCGAAACCATTCTGATTCTTTAGAGAAACAGTATATCTGGTCTATAAATCCGTTCTCTTTTTTATTTTTTATGACGTTTAAAACTTTTTGATGCCATACCTCAGCCTAGGGAGTTCATTCTTGGCAGGTATTAATTTATTCAATTTTTGAAACACTGAAACAGAAAGAAGCAAGATTTTCATTGCACTGTGAGTAGTCAAGTACAGGCCATTTTTCCTATTTGCACATTGTATATGTTGTCAAAAACTGGCTCTGTGCGCAAAGATAGTATGAAGGATTTCTATGGGGTGAAATAATGTATTCTTGAGTTGTATGGAAACAGCTAGGGGACAAAAAGTAGACCTGCAGGCATTGCCTTTAGATAGATCTTTATAGCCACATTCTGGTCTGGGGAGATGAATATTTATACAGGGTCACACACAATTTAAGTGGTTTGTGTGCTTGATAATTTTACTCTTTCAAACAATGATAATAATATTGAATGCTATCGTCCGCTTTATACAAAATCACTTATGGAATGAATGGTCATCATTTTAATTTTTCATTTCAAACAACCAGGTAAAGAAATATGCTGGATACTTCTAATGGTAAAATGGAGATGATGATCAAGTAATAATTTAAAAAAATACTATAAAAAAATCTTGTAATGTTGAAATGTAAAAGAAAAAAATACAAAACTATAAAAAATGAAAGATGCTTCTTTGCTGGTTTTAATCAAAGTTTTATTGATACTTTGTGGTTTATATATGAATAACTGTAAAATACTATTAAAATGTACTGTGCATCCATTGCTTTCTTCTCCTCTTCCATCCCCCCTCCCAAGATCTCCTAATCTTCTCTTCTTTTGGTTGGTCACTCATGTATTCATTAGTGTGTAAAAAGCCACAGTTAACTTGTAAACTCAGTGCTGTCTTTGATACCAGTGTAGTGATCTATGTTGTCCCCTCTCACTCTACCTCTCCTTCCTCTTTCTCTCTCTTGCGCCCTCCTCTTCCTCCTCTTCTATCTCCTGTAATTACAAGTAGATGTTAAATAGGACTCATTATATAATACTCGTAGTGAATAGTGGACTTAGGACCAGTCAAGATAATAGACCTTTCTCAAAACATGAGATTTGCAGACATTTTTTTATAGATCATTGTACTTTTTTTGTCACTCCCAATGTATGTTTTTTCTCATGTGGTCACAGCTAACCAAAGCTCTCATGGATGAACAATACAAGAAAAACTTTTTTGCTGTAAAGGTGGAATTGTACACAAGGCATTATTTGGATCCCCACCCTTGAATGTTTCCAAAAGGGGTGTGCCATACTACCTTAAATCCTGATGCTAGATATGCAAGTGGACATGTGCTTGTAATGTCACCAGCAAGTTTGAACCTCATTAACATCCATACATTTTCAAGCCTGCTGTGCTAGTCAGCGTGCTAATTTAAGCCAAGGTTGATTTCACGCTCACCGCCACGAGCTAAAATCAATCCGAACTATGAAATTACAGCAAAATACATGCATAACGCTATTAAAAATTATTGGTTGGATATTTTCCCTCAAGTGCTCCCCAGAGTCAGACCCCCTCTATACACTAAACGCTACACAAAAACACTGTGCAAACTCCAGCAGCACATCAACTCATGGTTTGGCCTTTCAATTTCAATTAAAGCTAATTCAGTCTCCTATCAGTTATTCAATTCAGTGCACCACATGGTGTCTTTAAATCCAATCTGCTCACATTAATAAACAGCATTAGTGTCCCTGTTTATAATTCTCCTTTAGTAAAAATGCCAAATGACAGTTTCAAAGATATAAACTATGGAGGTGAGGTTACTTCAAAAGCACCAATGTAAATACGCTGTGCAGGGCTTTATGGGTGTCTGACAGCCTTAATAAGGTTCAATTGTGCAAACAGTCAGGGACTTTTTTGATGCTAATATATAATGGCAACGCAACAGCACATAATGAAAAGAGGAAAAGCCTATATTTTATTTTAAATCAATGTAAAAGACATCTAGAGACCAATTACATTTGCAGTGAAATTGTGATGATTGATTATCCAAACAATAATTTAGTGATCATCATGTTTTTACTCTCATTCAATAGAAAACTTAACACTAACCTCTTACCATACTTGCTTTATTATTCAACATTTCCCTCCTGCTGGTAGCATTTGAAAACATACTCATAAACCAGTCACATTATAAAGTTATGCATTTTATATTTGCTCACAAGCACTATTGTTACACTGGCGTCCACCGCGTTGCGCTTCGTAGCTGGGACTTTAAGGTGGCATGGCTCTGTTGCTGTAATTTAAGTTCCTCTCAAACTGACAGCAGTTTACAGCTGATGAATGTTACACATCTTAGTAGACTAGCTTAGCCATCTGGGGAGAGGGGGGAGGGATCTGGGTTTAAGAAACATGAAAAAAGTCAAAAAAAGATAAAACGTCAACCTGAAAAGTGTTGACATTTGTAGTGTACTACCGTATCCATTTAAACTTGAATCTTGAGGCAAGTGCTAGGCAATGGCCACACCATTATAGAGCCCATTCATGTGTGGGAAAGTCCACCCTAAAACCGCTGTCGCTTTGGACCAGTCTTGTCAATATTAAAGATTTCCAGATTAGCAGAGTTTTTGTGGCGGGCATTTTTACCTGACCGAGCCTTAGTGTGGCCTTATCTCTGGGAGATACTGGACACTGTCACATGACCACAAGTGACTAGAGCTGTAGTCTTAGCCCTTTTAGGAGCTTGCTCAAAGGCCACTTTCCAAAGCGACTCAGAGTAGATGTTGTTAGGTGGATTTCCTGTTCAGTCCAAATCATGCCATCCCACATTCATTGAAAACAGTTGCAATATATATGTGTGTACAGATTGGTATATATTTGCAATTTCATGCATTTGACAATACTACACTGGAGACCTCAGCTGTAAACCGTATGTGACACACCACCACACAGCTATCCCATCATGCTTAGCTTCACCGTGGCGTGTGTGGAGTTGGGAGCAGACCTCTAGAGGCCACCGTCGGCCCATTCCTAACACTTGCCCCTGTTTTTTTATGTTCACCAACTTTTTATGGCGAGAGACAGACAGACTTGACTGACATCTGAAAGCATCTTTCAGGTTATCATATGGCTTGCTCAAGCCCTGTTGTAAAATATACGAAAAAAATAATAATGATAATAATAATATGGATGGGGGTCTCTCACATATCAAATGTGGAAAGTCTAATTTTATATTTGTATTTTCAAATAATAATATTGACAAAAAATGTCTGTGAAAGGTTTCCATCCTCTACTGTGGTCCAGAAATTGATGTGTCTGTCTGGAAAATAAATAAAATAAACTGAATTGTTATATGACTTGTTGTCACTGTGCTGTTGTATTTTTGCTATACGCACATGGTATCTGAATGTTCCTCAGTAAACCCAATCACACATATGTTGTTGCATGTTATTTCTTAGCACACTACACACACACGCGCACACACACGCGCACACACTACACACCCCGTAATAAGCTGATTATTCAGTTTTTACTCAAAACACTAGCCTGTCTTCCTCTCTGCACATATCCTTAGAGGTCACTCATAAGTCAGCAGGATTAATATAGAGCGTGGTGGATTTGAGGAACGTGGGAACAAACGCGACTCTGCTGTGTACTTCTGCTGCCCCTCAGTGGTTCCAGCCTGCGCTCAAAAACTACACTCCAAAATCACTCCGCGTGATTCATTTACTGAAGGCAGGTAAGTAAACGGCACACAGAATAGCCTATGTAATCAAATATAAACAATTGTCTATTTGTAAAGTAAGGTGTACGTACAGTCTGAGGTAAGTTGAGCGCCGGGTTGGGGATCAGAATTGGTAATGTGCTAGGGCTTGTCAGCGCGGAGCAACACTACGACAGCTTCATCAGTCATTCAGACAGAGTGATCTATAATTCTGACCCAGATCAATACAGCTCCCACCTCACTTTTTCAGCCTCCACTCCACTCCTCTCACCACTCATTCTGTGTAATGGGCGCGCTACAGACACCAGGACTGCGGGGTGGCACTGGGAATATAAGTCATTCAAACTTCATTAGATCCTCTCCCCCAGATAATACATTTTACATTGGGCAGTTACTATTATATGCAAGCAACAATTTTGTCTTAAAGTAACTATCCATACAACACCTTGGTCATTATTTGTGTTTCTACCGCTGAACAAAACTATAGGCAATAGTAAAATAGTCAGGCATAGTTGTTATACATGTTCAGCACCTCTTGAAAACATATTTACTTACTACACATAAAAGGTTACTTTTAAAATGTACTAAATATTAACACATTTATTTTTTTAAACTGTCACTTAAGTTCCATTGTTTCTAGTTGAGAACCACTCACATTTCAAGGTCATAGGTTCAAGCTGTTCTGATTGTTGGGTAAATAAACACATAGGCCTATACTTTTTGCCCAAGACTGCTTTCATGGTACAGTTTTGTCAATACAGGCTATCTCTCATTTAGGATAGTGTAGCCTAGCATAAATATTTTTGCAGGATGTTGTTATTGGGGGAAACTGTTGTAGGAAAGCCAAGTTGAATTTATTTCAGACCCAGGTCTACAGGGGGGAAAAGGGTCTATTGCAACCTCATTAAAATGTTGGCACCGCCATTTAAGGTGTGTGCAAATTAAAGACACTTAATGGAAGAGTATTGTCTTTGCACCCCTTTGAAACTCGTGCACCCTCAGTTTTGTCTGCACCTGGCCCTGATTCATTTAAAGAAGAGATGTTTATGTTTTTATAGGTGCAATAAAACTATGTATCAATATTGTACATTTTGTTTGCTGTAAACTGCAACATTGATTTAAAGCAATTTAATTAGGCTACAGTATAGACACAAGTCCATTCACTTACTGTTCAAGTTCAAACGCAAGAGAAGTTTATTTATGAGCAACAACCCTGAGACATGAACCCCCAAGGCACTGTGATACTATTGTCCGTTAAAGTCTAGTGCAGTCCAATCTGCTCTGGCTATGCTTCAGTTATAGGGAGTATTATACCTCTGTAGATGATGTAAGCCAAGATAACAGACTGAAGTGGCAGTGTGGGTCTAGCACATCCCAGAAATGTAATTTCTCCATTTATGTCCCCTTTAAAAAAATACAAGCTATAATGATGAACATAGTTAACCTTTACTAAGATTGCTTTAGCCTTTCCCAGCTTCTGTGGGCATAGATGGTGTGTATACCATGGCCATTGCAATTAAAATATGTTAGACTGCTAACCACTCTGCCACTCCATCACTACCTCTCTTAAGTCTCCCACCATTAACCTGTGCTGCTTGCCTATGTGTGTTTGTTGGTGCCAGTCCATTTTATGTTTTTACCGGGACCACCTAACTAACTGACCTTTCCCGTCCCCGTGCCTTAATGAAGTGCTCATTAACAGAGGCACGCCATCAGACACTTGTGGGCCTTAAGCACCGCCGCCGCAAACACAATCAGCGGTCATTACGTCAGCTAAATGTCAGCTCACTCACCAACGCACACTAACTGGTCAGCATCAATGGTCAGTATAGGGAGAGGTTTAAAACACATGCATGCACAGGCATCAGGTACATGTGGCCCTGTTTGTATGTAATGTATAGGAACAAAGCTAATGCACTAATGCAGTTAATAAATTAAAACCACATAAAATCAATAGGCAATGTTTTTGACATGCCAGTCCCAAATCTGGATAAAAAGATAAGGGTTGTTTTTAAGAAGATATTATGCAAACCATACAATTGAGAAATTTAAAAGCACTTTTATTCAG